TGTATAACAGATAGAGCCGGATAAAGGAGTTCAATTTCCGAAAACGGAAAATACCTCATAGATGTACATAAATGACTCCTTAAGTGCAAAATTGGGGCAAAACACGCTTATCTCTCTAAGACTCCACGTAGTCCGGTCAACATACCTGGGCCGACGAGTTCCTCATAAGTGCTCTTCTCTTTGAATGGTCGCGGCCCGAGCACCTCGATCAGGTCCTCCTTTGAAAGCTGTTCCTTTTCTAGTAGACGAAGAGCTAACTGGTGGGGGAGAATAAAAGATAGATTAAGGGTGAGAAAGAGTTCAAAACATGAAAGTGAGACTTGGCAGGATTCAGGTTAGGTAATACTGTTGACCATTGACAGCTAGACTCCACCTGCGATTGATCGCGGTATGACTTGTAGATGAAAACAAGAAGAACTCCGACACGATTTATGCCTGAGTATCATTTATCGCAGCCTGCCCCTAAGATTGTTTCTTTAGCGTGCTATCAAGGGTTACCATACCATAATGCTCTGAGGGCATCTGTTTCTCCGCAGTGAATTAACACGCTGTGGGAAAAGGCTGAAACATACATACTCCGAATGCGAACAGATAAATCGGCGTATACAGAGTTCGCCGGCTTCTGAGTTTACGGAGGAGCTGCAATGAAGCACAGCCAACGACCCCCTCTTCCTCTAGCCTACAGATTCGACCTTATTCGTATAGCGACAGCAGGACTTCCTCTATTGACATAGTGTAACAACGGTATGACCGCCCAGAAGTACCGCCGGCCCTCGCTCGTTCGTCAACCGCACACTGCCCGGAAATACAAAATGCGCCTTCAAATATGCAATACACCAACATTTGTCGACGCTTCCTTGGAGTGAAACGCCTACTTCACATTGAGGGAATTCCTAGTAGAGCCGGTGTTCTGATGGACGAAGGCTACGGATCAGACAATATGGTCGAATAATATTGACTTCATACAATGCACAACTATAAAGTTGTTCGGAGAAATAACCGAGCAGAATCGTGGTAAGGCAAAGCGTTTGCGTAAAGATTCATGGACCCC